ATCAATTTTTCATTGATGCTGTGACATTAATTACAGCAATTACAAAAAACAAATTAAAAAAAAAAGCAGAATCAACAGTCAGCACTTCAGAACTAAAAAGGACAGGACTATCGGAACTGTGAGAAAAGGGTTATCTAATGTCTGACCATAATACAACACTGGCACAAATAGTCACAAATTCTCTTTACTGCCGTAAAAAGCTAGTGATGATAAGTTTATAATTAATCAAAAAGACTCCAGTTCAAGGGAGAGTCTTTAGTCACCATGACTCTGCATACCTTTTTCTAAAGTCAGTTCCGAGTTGCACCAAACAAGCAGAAATACTATTACGCTGCCTTGTCTTCAGTTAATCATGTTAAAAGCAATTACGTATTCTGCATTTATAACTGAGGAACTTCACAGTGGATAGGTCTGGTGATGAAAGTATAGATGCGCTCTTAGTTTGCAAAAAAGTAAATCTGTACGGTAAATATGAAAGGGTAGGTACGTTTAGCTTTTATTTCAGAAAGCCTGGTAGGAACATCACCTGTTTCTGCCAAATCTGCTGATCCATTCTTGACCACAAATTGAGCATTAATGAATTCTTCAGCAAACGAATGCAGTTGTTCAACTGTGCAGTTACCAATGCCACCTTGTGGATATACTGGCATAGCACAAAGCTTGTCCAGAGCGCTGCTCTATCAAAGGAAATAGTCTCTTGTTCCACTGAAAAAAATCCCATATTTTCCCATTATAACATATTTACATTCTATCAGACACCACTTACAAAATATTTTTCGCGCTCGCAGTGATAACTGAGCTATGTAGCTAATGCTATTTTTTTGTAGCTGCTGGTTAGGTTTTTTTCCTGTGGGAGTATTTGATCTGGTATTCCCTTCTTTTTCCCCTCTTTCTGAAGAACTTTGCGAGTATTTCTGCTGTGTGTCTCTACTGCTTTTTAGTAATTGCCTGGTGATGGCAAGGAGAGAAATCATGTTGGTGTGAAGCTTCTCGGAGACCTTTCTCATTTGGGACAGTGGCACCAGAAAGCTTCCCCCAAATTCCTGAAGCAGAGAACAGCTAAGGTGTTTGAGATGGCATTTCTTTAGCACAAAAGAACTGCTCTTAAATGTGCCTGCCCATGCAGGACTCCAGGTGCCTAGAATTTCTGAGATCTGCTAGAATCCATATTGGTTACACTCATCATAAGCTTTCAGCTGTCAGGCTTGTCTTTTGCTCATTCAAGGAGGGTGAGGCTGTAGGGGTGCAGAATGAAAGACAGTGTCCGTAGGAGTGTCCTGGTGCTCTGATGTCTGCTTCCAGTGGGAATACTACCTGCTATTGCAGGTGTGTTGTACTACACGAGATGCACGTGTCCTACGCTTCTGCAGTATGTACTAGATCTGAGAAAAAAATGTCAGTTCTGACTTTGCACTCTAGTCAAATGTTTTCTTTGCTTCCGAGTTTCTTAAGTCAGAATACTAACGGTGCTCTGCTGTGGGAACATGTTCGGCATTGCATCACCTGAGTAAATTAAGCCCCTCTAAGAAAGGGTTATATTTTGCATTCAGGTATGTTCAGCTGCCAGCGGAAACAGCTGAACGTTTGGGGGATATTCTGTGTAAGGCGACTTGTGATGCAGCTGGTCAAAAGCCAGGATTATAATGGCAAAGAGTAAATGAGTACCAGACCTTGTCCCTGGCGTGGTTATACCCCTATTGTCTGTTAGCAGCAGGACTTATTTCATCGTGTAAACATCATCTTTAGGGCAAAGTGGCAACTGCCAACTGTTGAGGGGAAACTCAACAGCCAAGTTTGACGCTTGGGAAATGACAGTCTTAAAGGAGCTACACCTGACTGTACTGCAGTGTTTCCTTCCTTTCCCATCCAGGCTGAAAAAGCCGAGGTACTGAACTACTGAAGGGGGTGGAGAGGAGCAGGCAGGCTCCCTTGTTTCAGAATTAATTCCAAAAGCAGGCAGTGATGAAAATGAGTTTATCTTTTCAGTGCCTTGGGGAGAAGAGAAACTGTCTAAACCAGCACTCTAATTAGAGTTGCCCTGAAACCTAGAGTACATGTCTCTTATTTCAAAGATAATCTACACTCTTCAATTTTTCTTTACAGGGGGCGCACAATATGATCGCGACCATGTTGTTGTCAACACAGTCAATGAAGAAAAGTTAACGCAGTGTTGGGAACCGCTAGTTGTATAAACCCAAACAAGCGAAGATGACGTTTGAATTAGCCACTATTCCAGACACTAGAATTGGCACTGCCATCTCTGAAGGATACAGGATCAACAATAAGAGTTTTGTCTTTTCTTTGCAATTTTAAAAAGAACAAGCAACAGAATGATTTCACCTCTCTATCTAAGATTATTATCCCTCTGAAAGCTTGAGTATCTTTCAACCCTTTTTTTTTTGTGATGATTATCACAACTCAATGTGAGATAGAGAGTGGTAGTGTGCCTCGGGCTAGAGTGGAAGAACTAAAGGTGGGAGAGACCCCATGGAGTTACAGTGGTGTCCACAGACAGAATAGTCCATAAGCGTAATTTTAAATTATTTTTAAAAGATTTATTTTTTAACCGAGAGAAGGGCTAAAAAATAATTAAAGCTTATTTTATAAAGGACAGGAGTGCAGTGTGTACATGGGTATAGCAACTTGGACCTATGGGCTGTAGTATAGAGAAATATTCACTACTGGAAATTAATATATTTGTTTCACTGGAACAAACTTAACGTTTACTGAAGTTTAAAGACTGCTAGCACACAGCACACCCAAAGAATTTTAACACGTGGCTTCAAATATAGTTAGTATGCTAATGCAGTAAGTCCTAAATTAAGAAAAAATTCTAGTTTTTCTCATGTAGAGACGATGTAAATTAGTAGATGTTTGTTAGAAAAAGAGAAGGCTGGCAAAAGGATGCATCAGAACGTGAAGAACTTGCCCGTTTTCTAGGCTGCCTAACTTTTTGAGTTATGGGTATTTTACTTCTTTGCCAAGTCAAATTTTTACCTTTTAAAACAGTTCCAGTAAGTATAGTCTTCCTGAACTCCAAAATCATAGAGAAAACAAGAATTCTTAGGGAAGGTATCACTAAAGATGACTGCAACTAAGCAGTGTGGTTACTAAGCGCTGTGGTTACGAAGTTTTTGAGCCGCTGCCTGTTGGGCTTACTGTGGAGAACGCCAGACTCCCAAGTATTTCTGATGTTGGAGAGCAGCGTCCGTGGTGGGCTGCTGGCTCCCGGCTGCCGCTGGGCAGAAGTCTCAGGCTGCTCTAGTGAAGGGCATAGCCAAGCCTGGATGTGTGCCCAGTCACAAGGGCTGTGCCCGTTCAAAGTGAGCGTTACTGGTTTAGTAAAGAGCTTGTGACAAGTAAGACATACTAATGACTGCAGGAGGTTCTTCTGTTGCCCTGCTCTTAGCCTGGTTTTGTTAGTTTTCCTTAATGATGTTGGCAAAAAGGTAAAATACAAACAAAGTCTTGTGCTATGCTGCTGTGTTTTGTTCTGGCTTAGACCAGTGTTATTACAAGCTGCTCCTAGGAGCATCCAGGCCTTTGTCTTGCATAGTAAGTCTGTTTAACATTTTCATTACTATTGTATTGCCTCAAAGGATACTGGTGCTTTTATTGTTACCACCCTAGAGGAAGTGCCTTACTAATTTTCCTCCTTTTGTACAGACGTACTGAAGTTTTGTTGCTCTGAAATGTGCTGCTTTTAGTTCTTCATAGAAAATGTGTTGTTATTGGTTCCAAACAGTGGTACTTTGTCATATTGATGTGCTCTTGCTATATATAATATAGCATTTTACAAATAAATTTAAGTTAGGTAACTTTTCATTGAAATTATTTTTAAAAGTAGAAAGCTGACATTTTATGGTTAGTTTTGCTTCTGTCTTGTGTCCTTCCTCTGTCCACAATTCCTCTGCAACAGCTAGCTAGTGAGGAGTCAATACATGGTGTGGAATAGCTGCAGGCTGCGAGGAACAGATGCTTCTGTACAAGCACGTGTTCAGTGCATTTGTACACGGGGCCACAGTTCACATGGCTGCTGCTTCTGTCCCCCGGTGGAAGCACTGCATGACATGGTCTTTCCATCACCGTAGCTGCACCACAGTAACTGTGCAGTTCTCAATTAAAATCTTACCACTTTCCTTCGATCTACCTGCATAATTGCAGGGGAAGTCACTCCGTAGCTCGTCTCTGGCAAAATGGTAAGTTTAAAAACAGACCAACAGACACATACCCCTCAAGCATTTCATTGCCACCAGCCGTGATAGGGGCCACGGAAGGAACAGGGTCTCCTGATTACTGACAAAATCATGTCTAGCCTACCTGCGCAAACACTGTAGTCAGCTGAATCTGCCAGGAGTTAGGCAATTAGAATAATTATCAGTTACAGATTGATTTTTGTTCCATGCTTCTACTCAGATTAGTTATGCCATGAGAGATTTGCCATATCAAGATTAAAGGACCGGTCTTGAGACAGCAACATGACCACTTAATACAGGAAAAGTTTACAGGTTCTGAGAATGAACTAGATAGAACTAGACTGAGTAATAATATGTATTAATAAAGGTGAACAGAACTAGGAAGGGCCAGGGCAAAAAGGACAGCACAAGTTTCATACGGACAATTAGATAAAAGTGTGCCTCACCATTTCAGGACTTGGCTAAAACATCCGAGAAATAAAAGCTCCACGATCTACAAACTGAAAATGCTTCTGGCTGTTCCTCTTATCCCAAGAGTGAGGCGTGTTCTGCAAAAGTCACAACTACAATCTTAACATGGTTTTCATGTAGACATACCTAAGGCACATTAGTATTTCTTGTCTGCGTATTAACAGTTATTAAGAGGCAGAGTATGAAGGAATCGAAGAGGCTTTTCTAAAACAAGACTTTTTTTTTTAAATTATGCACCATGTGTGAGCTTTTAAAGAAGAAACAGTTGCTACGTACCAGTTCATGTTCAAGTGTAATTTACTAGTAAAGGACTGGCTGGAGGCAGAATAATGATTAGAGATACTTTATTTTTTACTAATTACATCAATCACTGTTTTTCCACGTGCATGTCCTCCTTCCAATTTCAGAAAGGCCTTTGGAACTTCGGAAAAAGAGAAGACTTGATCAATAACTGGTTGAATCTACAGAATAAAGAAAAAGTGTCGCTATATTAGGAATAAAATAATGTATCACCTTCACACTTCAAAACTCTTAGGAAGAAAGGGGGGGGGGTTCTTTATAGTATTTAGGGCAGAAACACCTCTACTTAGCACAGTTCGGAACCCTCACCTGGGACTCTTAACAATAAAGTCACCAAGCAAGGCTCTCACTTCTAAGTCCCTTTAAAAGCTGACACTGTGGTTCAATTTTTCGCTGTTCACAATGATACACTGAGGAAAAGGAAGAACATTTTTTCCTTGTGTTTCTCTACTGGTTTTCTTGTTAAACCCAACAATTTTCAAAAGGTCAGATGTTTTAAAGATACCTATGAATCTAGTGCCTATCTGCATCAGTACATTCCTCAGTACCCTTAAAAGACTTGGCTGCAAATGAAGTACAGAAAGAAGTTCACAAACATTTGTTGCTGAATCATTTAGATACACTTGAAAACTCAGCCACTGTGTATTCCAACAGGCATACATCATTAAGCCCAGCTTGAATCGACTGCTATTTTGGCATTAATTTTGTAGAGTAGCCTTCTGGATTGTTTTAGACTCATTTCTAATAACGAAGGTGAAACTACCCTATTTGCTGTCCCCACTATTAACTACGGAGCCTGAAAACCCTATGAGCATTTTCTTTAGACATCACAGTGTACCAACAGAAGCAGAAGAAATCCCAGCTGCTTCTGAAAAATACTTGTCACTGCTAGTCCAAGGGAAGAGACTTTTTCTATCATCAAGTTCTGAGTCAGCCTTCCAAACGCCAAAATAAGATCTGTGTACAAAAGTACCTCCCAAAGATCCTACCTACCCTGAGGTTGGTCTCTTACTGTGGATCCCCTAACACCAGCCCGATGCATGTTCTTGCATTGATGAACTGGTCCTAATCCTCTTATCAGAGGAAAACATCATTAACAGTAGATGAGTCTGCAGCTAGCTCTTGCAGTGATGAAGATCTGAAGTAACAAAGATCCAAACACCCTATTTACTGTGCTAGAAAAAGATCCTTGTTACTTTTGTCAGTGAAAAAATATCTTCAGGCTTCTTCCCCACAGCTACTAGCATGGACACTATGTTGCTGAGTACTCCAGAACCGGTAACTGCCCTCTCCTGGTAGATTAATAGAAAAGAAATACAACAGCAATAAGGAGACAAAGAATTTGCCAGCATCAGAACAGTGCCGTCTTTCAAAAGGCTTGCTTACTTTTACCCGAAGGCAAGGGGTACGTATTCAGACATGCTGCTTAGCAGGTGAACGTGCAGCACTACCAAGGAAAATTTTTCATGTGCACCCATTTTCCAAGCAGCAGCACTGACCACCCAACACCCTCGCCAACAGCACAAATGCCATCTGGTAGTTGTCTGTGCTCAGGTAGGTCCTTTTCTCAATTCTCCTAATTTTCTCTTCATTCATACACAGTGCTTTACCTTGAAGTCCATTCTTTGCACTAAAATAACTACTGGTTTTACTTATATGATAACAGTAATCAAGACCTCAATAATCTAACTATTACACTGCAGTATCTCCTAATCTTGTCGCTAGATTTTCCTTTTTATTTTGTCAAGGCAAGCTTAGCGGTAGCATGAAACTTTACATGGCAGAAAAGTAGGAATGAGTGAACCTGCTCCAAAGAAAAAGTCAGAATTAGCAGCCAATCACTATGAGAGCAACTGTGCAAATAAATATATTCAGTAAGTGCCTCAAACTTGCCGTGCTGCAGGGTACAAGGCTGGGTAATTTCTTCCCTTTGTTCTGCCAGGACCATCTCTGTAAACAAACCTCTAGCAAAGTGAGTAGTAACACACAGCGGAGGAGCCAGAAAGGTACCGTGTAACACTTTCTGCTGCTCAACTGGGGAAGAAATGTGGGGCGTGAATGATCAAGTTCAAGACAAAATCATGTTTGGTCAACATCCAGCACAGAACGGAAATGTTGTCTCGGGCATCAGCAAATTCAGGGACATGGACCCAGGGCAGCAAAAACACTGAATGAGATACTGGCTTTGGGTAAACTGAGCATCCGAGTAAACTGCAGCTTCTGTGACTGTCAGCAGGAGGAACGTGCTGCAGATCAGTAGTGACTGTTTTGAGGAAGACCAACCCTTGGTTTCATAGCAGAAGCTTGGGAAGAAACAATGCAGTAACCTTGCTGAGCCAAGCACAAGTGCAGCACTTGTACAAGTACTTATTGTTAATGGCAGTTACATACAACGCTGTGCTTCAGTTAAGAAAAAAAAAAAGAATACAGAAACTCAGCTGCTGGAGCACGGACACAGGTGACCCTGGCAGGGCAAGAGGCTGGGAGGAGGGGAAAGGTATTCAGGGAAGAAAGCCGTGCAGCAGCACAAGGGATGTGAAGCGCAAGGGAGTCCCGGGAAAGGCAGAAGTTAATTTCAGACACATGCAGCAACTGAGAAAAAATGAACAAGACGCTTCAATGTCCCACTACCTGCAGTCATTTATTGTAGGTTGCAGCTTATAACCCTGACAGAACGAGGTATGTTACGTCCTCAGCCTATTAGGTAAAGTTCCAAGCATCACATTTGAAAAGTTGGTGACACAGGGATTCAGAGGAACCCTGAATTCAGCCTCACAGTTCAAAACACTGTGTATTGCAGCCACCACACACTCAAAGCCCATCTGCTACATTGATGTAACCTCTAGTTCCATTTAAACACTGGCTTTAGGCAGTGCTATAGAGATACATGAATACTAAACTGATGATCCCGACAATCTAGAGCATTAAACATGTTATCTGGCTGGCTGGTCAGTCCCATTGTTTGAATAACCCTGAAAGGGCTGACCGTGTTGCAGCACAGTGATTCACTCAGCCTTTACCATAATCCACTGACTAAGATAAAATTTCTTCCTGTGAGCAGACAAACAAGTAGGGGAGCGTCTGCTGTTTGTTGAATGTGTGATAATAAATGGAGATTAACCGGATAATAAAAACACTGCCTATTTACAGTCACACATCAGTTCCTTGCCAGAGGACACCTATTTGTTCAGGGAAAAGGGATTAAACTAAAGTCTGGGAGAGAAAGGATTAACACTCCCGCATTGAAATGTTTATCTGAAAACAGATTGGACCTGAAAGGTATTTTCTTCCTCTTCATTCTCTCCGATGCAGGACGTACTATAGAAATGAATCTCAGGTCTCTTGAAATGAACTCATGTGTTTGGAAAAATAAAAAGAGCAATTGCTGATGCTGATTAAGGCTATCCTACATAGAGCACAGAAGTGGCAGGGGGGGCGGCACCCCGCTGCCACACGGGACAGGC